TCGCGTCACGCTACTGGGCGCATTCAAATTCGGCCTGAGGCTTGGAATTGAAACCATGCCCTCCAAATCGGCGTCTCGCATCAGTACGAGGCAGATTTGAATCGCGAACTACGTAAACCCTTGATGGTCCATGGTTAACGGATCGTAGTGAATGTGGGAGTGCCAGTGCCGCATTGGTAACATCCTAGCTAATAGAGCTCCGAATGCATCAGTCTTGATCAACCTGGGGGCACTCAGTGTTCGATTAAAAGCCCATGCTTGGTAATGAAATGTTCTTCTATGATGGAAACTAGCAGACCCCGTCGCTTCACTCTGGAGTTCTCTAGCTCGTAGTTGACAGGTGAGGAATCGATTAAGCCTTGAGGATGAGTCAAATCATCAGATGGTTAATAGGTTACAATCCATCTCAGACGACACTTGCGATACAACCCCAGTATATGGTGAAAATGTTGGGAATGATGGAAATTGACACTCCGGAAAGTGATTGTTGTTTCTGCGCAATATTCTTTTTGTTTATCGAGTTGCGTTTGGAGTTGTGCTCGAAAAGAAACGCACTTAGTAGTCGTGCGATTGGTGGAAAAATGGCCCTTCTCTCCGTACATGGAAATGGTCCATTTTTATCTGCACTCGCGTGGAAGTGCGCCCTTGGGTTAGAAACAGGACCCGACACGTGGATTCAAGTTCTTAGCAGTGTGGTAAAATATGCACATTGTTGAATGTAAAATTCTAAGGAAATTTTGGGAAATATTCAACTACTTTTCTACTCGGATTCATATATGAACTTCTATAAGTAGTGAGGAAACTCCTAAGCGCCGTTGAGGAAACCAAAGGCATATATTCCCGCACTGGTTCTTAGTGGTACTCCCTGGGGCATTGATATACTTTAATAATACACTCTTTTTCACCAAGTCTGGGAAGGTCTACCTTCCCCTCTGTTGGACTTAGCCCCTGGGGTGCCTCGTAATCGGGGATAGCTGCCCACTTGGAATTTGGGAGAATGACGGTTGATGCGAAATTTAATATTGCAATGGGAATCGAGGAATTTCCTCAACTCCTCGCAAGCCCGTAATGGGTTTGAGTGAACGTAGAGGAAGAGTGTGTTGTGATAGAACCGAGTACAGTAAGCAATTCTGTGCATACGTACTCCTTCGTCTGGGCGCTGTACGTAAGAACACAGCACGCGTAAACACAGTGCTATCTTCGCCTTGCGATCAGTACCATTGGTTTTGCTGGCGTACACTGTACCTCGGAGGTACAATGTGAATCCTGTGTGATTGGAAAGTTTCCAAATTTGTTGATAAGTTGTATAAGTCGTCAGGATAGGTTCTAGCGCGGCGCGCTGCATCGCTCCGCTTTTTTCGATTAGGAGCAGCAGGTCCTTATGTGTTTGGTTGGTTGGTTCCATCCCACTAGTACTCATACACAAGGGTAGTTGTAGTTAATATCCTTATATGAAAACTTAACTCTTGCGTCACATAGCTATACGTGCTACTTAAATAATGGTAAGATAGCAAGATATTCTCACTTCAGTGACACTCCCGCCACCTAGTGAGTACGACAACACCGTTTACCCAACGATTTACATAGGAATTGGGAATTGGTGTTTCGAAATCTATCGACCAATAGACTATCCGTCTCATGCCACGTCATACACTTCGGGCATTGAATCCATGAAGTAAGATTAGGATCCGCTGCTCTAGGAAAATATCTAGTTAAGTTAGCAAATAACTGAATGTGTGATATATCCTTACGAGAACCATGACCTCCCAAGTTCTGGGTGATCACTGGCTCTATTCTACACGTACTATCACTCAATTGCTCGACGATTTTATAAGGACCAGTAAAATCGGGAGCTTCACCCTGACCAGGGGTATAAACCAAAACCATATCCCCTTCTCGGAAGGAAGGGTTTTGCGCGGCCCCAAATCGCCGTTGGAGAGCTGCTTGTTGAACTTCTTTCTGTTTCTGCCAATATCGCAGGTAATCATCAAATTGGGTCTTCTTCATCAATACAGATTCCTCATGTAGTTTAGTCAAGAATGCTTGTTCAGCTGGATTGAAGAGATGATCGATAGTGGATAATATAGTAGAATTTTGGAGTGCTGTAGTAGGTGGTAAATCACACGGTAGTCTACCAGCATAGGCATAGAAAAGGTAGAGAGGACATAGACTGCTTTGAGAACTATAGGGAACACCATTCATAGCCAACTGATAATCAGGTATTCTCTCTGGCCAAGTACGAGGATCACCACCAATTAGATAGTCAGCCTTTAGTGCTTTACGCACGAAACGATGTAGGGCTTCATACCATCCAGCATAACCAGCCGCGTAAGGAGGTAACACAGCAATTTTGATAGCCTTTTTTGCCGCCCATGCTTTCAGCTTCTGATACTGAGCTTTTGACGTCCACGGACTCTGGGTCCCAGCACCATCAAAGACGAAGGCGACCGGATAACCAATATCACCAAGTAGGATATCAAGATTTTTGGTGATTTCATTTATAGTATATGAGCGTAAGCATCTTAACCACGTATATTTGCTCACAGCACAAGTAACTGTGAGAATACAAGTATATTTTGGTGATCGAGCATCAGACAAATCGACACCATGAGTAGACATCGACATGATATCCACTGCTAATATTTGAGCAGGTCTAAGACCTTTCATCCGGAGTCTCGACCAAAATTTTTTGTGATGTCGGACAGCATGAATACGTTGACATGGGTCACAAGTCTTCAAACGACCTTTAATAATAGCTTTGATCCGAGAACAGTAATAACGTTCCTCGAACAGAGTTATAAACTTATCAGAACCGAGATGCCCCATACGGTGATGAATATTATCGATCACTCTATAAATGAAATCTTTATCGGCATGATCCAAAGCAATCTTCGGATACACCACACCTGTAGCATCTACCGACGTCACACGATAAAGAATACCATCTCGTAACGAATAGAGGGGGGCTTCCCGCTCTAAAAAGCTACGAGGTAGACTACAATACGTACTCCAATGACCACCTTGTTCATGCCATTGGCGAATATCCTTATACAGAGTAGATTGTTTTTGATGGGCTTCAACATCTTTTAGACCAATAAAGTCATCAAGTCGAGCCATGGTCTCTTCAGCTTCGTCTTCTTCAGAAGATGGTGCATTATCAAAGGTAGCAGCATCGTCTATTATAGCACATGCTATTGTCTCGCTGCCGCCAACCTTCGGTATAGGGTTAGGGCAATGCTCCACTAAGGCGGAGCCATCGAGTAGAGATTGGAGAAAGGATAATTTGAAGTGTACGAAATTCTCAGAAGATATGATGTTTCCCCTAGAGGGGGCATCAGCCAAATTGTTATTACTTGATATGTGCAATAATCGAACATTCAACTTAATACAAGTATTACGGATATAATCGACCCAACGAGCTTCGAGGCTCGATAACTTAATATCATTACGACCAGACTTGATACGATAGATAGTTATGGAACTATCGGAAAATAGCACCCATTCCGAGCGATTGATCTTCAAGGATCTTACAGCTTCATACACGTCTGTGAGTAGTTCACAGGCTCGGAAAAGACTATACAATTCCTTTTTTGGAATTGTCCACGACGAGTGAGCAGCACCGAAAACACCACCGGAACCTCTCAATGGCTGAACCGGTTTGTCCTTTTGAATAGTAGAATGGTAGACATCATATATCGGACAGTATGCCACGCAAGACCATGCTACTTCACTAGCATCGCAGAACATGAAAAGATACTCTCCACTGAGTGATCTAGGCACCCGTGGTTTGCAATCTATGATAGCTTGACACCAACTCTTGAATTCATCAATGTGCTTCGGGGAAACTTCATCGTCCCAGCCCGTTACTTCAGCATTAGCCAGCTGCATATTCAATCTCCCTCTAACTCCGACACTCGGAAATATACCCATACTGTCATACCATGTTGCGTAAGCAGCTAATAATTGCCGTTTAGTTAGCCTCAATTGTTTATCTTCAAATAGTAGCTTAACAGGAGGAGGTAATAACGCTAGTATGTCATCACATATGGGAGATGACTGTGGATCCAAATACCAATTATAGCCAAAGTGTGAGAACCATCCGACGGAATCTATAGATGACACTCGTTTTTTAGGTTGGAGGGTAAACCCGCTCCTAGTAAGGCTTTGCACCACCACCGTCTCATTCTTCCTCAATGAAGTGATATTCTTCCCAGTGACACCAATATCGTCTACATACCAGACGATCAGTGCGTCCGTAGGAATACTTTTTAGTATTGGTAGAAGTGCTTGATGGAGTGATGATGATGAGCAGCATAAACCGAAAGGTAGGGAGCACCAGCGGAAATAACAACCGTAAAGGTAGCCTCCGCAGAATGGGCGAACCTTTGGGGACAGTTTCACCGCATGAAACGCACGAGATAGATCCAAGGATACATAAGTGGGACTAAGACGCCACACTGATAGGTTATGATTCAATGATAGGCAACCATCCAAAGAACCGTTCCTTAGATACTTATTGAGCTTACGTCCGTCTACTGTAAGACGAGTAGCCGAACTGACACTTTCTTTTTTATAGACCACATGAATAGGTAAGTAGTAGTTGATATCCTCAGGTTCACATAGCTCAATGTGACCTTCTTCAAATAAGCTTTGAAGAGCTTCTTGAGCTGATATGTGCTCTTTCAACGATAGAGAGCGTTCTAGACTCCTTGCTCGTCCGAGTGCTTCACGCCAGTTACTGCTAGGTCTGTCTTCAGTGGCCCAAGGAAGTTGGTGCAATACAGGAGATGATCGACGAGCTTCCTTAGTGGGAGTTTTCTGAGAGATTAATAGTGGATCAACAAACGATACCGTGTTTAGATCATCTTCGGTATCTTTTTCTTCAGCAATGGTCTTGTCCAGTTCGACGTGAGATATGAATGGATGAATTGGTTCAAAGCTCATACCACATGCCAGTAACCCATCATTCAATTCTTGTTCCCAATATTCTTCTTTAGATTTTTTGGCCTCATCCTGTTGGCCATCTTCACCATTTTCTTCGAGTACATCCACCGAGTGACCACTTGTCACTATAGGTTTGTTGAGACCTTTTGAGAAGCAGATATGGATACCAAGGGTAGTTAATGCACTAGTTCCCAACACGACGTCATATGCCAATGTAGGTACAACTATAAACTTGATTGGTGCTTTAGTTGATGGAGTACTGCATAATAAGGTAACACCACCAATCTGCTGCATAACATTTTTGCCATCTGCTAGACGGACTCCATTAGTTTTTGTGGTACCAGTGAACATATCACTGCTACATCCCATTCTTTTGAGTAACGCTGAACTACACAAGTTAACGTTACTTCCCGTATCTAGTAAGCAACATATCTGATGGGCATGATCATCACATTTGCCACATATACCAATATCCGCTGTTAATGCTTGGGGTTTTGCACCATGCACTGATGTGTCAGATATAGCCATACACTCACCATCATCTTCATCAGCATCAATAACCACTGCAGCTGTCGTCGGAGAAGCCGATGCTTCCTGCTTCACATGTGAGAATGCACAGTTGTCCCTCGAGCACTTTCCAGTATTTTTAAATTCATAACAATAGCCCTTCGGCTTGTTGATGTTGGGCCAAC